TCCTGTCCTGTATTTCCTATCCTGTATTTCCTATCCTGTGTTTCCTGTCCTGTATTTCCTGTCCTGTATTTCCTATCCAGTGTTTCCTGTCCTGTATTTCCTATCCTGTATTTCCTATCCTGTATTTCCTATCCAGTGTTTCCTGTCCTGTATTTCCTGTCCTGTATTTCCTATCCTGTATTTCCTATCCTGTATTTCCTATCCTGTGTTTCCTGTCCTGTATTTCCTATCCTGTGTTTCCTGTCCTGTGTGTCCTGTCCTGTATTTCCTATCCTGGTTGTCCTTCACTATGTTTTCCGCTTCTATAGTTTGTCCGGTATGTTCTGTTCTGTCCGGTGTATCAAGTCCTCTGTGTTCTATAATCTATGCTGTCCTGTTCAGCGTGTCCTTTTCTTTCCTGTGCTGTCCTACGTGTCTATAGTCCTGTCCTATGTATATTAACAATTACCTTTTGTAACCAGAAACGTAACACCAATGTGTGCTGAGTAATCCAATGCAAGTCCAACACTGAAAAATTACCTTTTATTCTAGAAAAATACACAATTAGAGGCTTTTCTGTCCTTTTTGCATTCTTTTTCTTTACACTTTTACTTTTCTACGAAGTTGTCAAAGGTTTGTGGATTTAGGAAAAATCTTTGTTTAAAGATTCAAAGAGAATTTATTTTGTATTTAAAATTCCATGATTTATCGAAAACGGATTTTTCAATAAATATTTAATCAATATTTTCAAGAAAAAAATCTTTCTTTGAAAATGGATAATTTGAATCAAAGAAATAATTTTCTTGCAAAGGTTGATTTAAACCAGGGTTCAAGGATTCCTATTCTCCGGGTTCCAAACTTACACAGAGAAAAAAGTTAAGAGGGACCTGACGAACTTTAAACAAAGTTTAGGGAAACTTTTCAGTTTTCAAATCAAATTAAAGAAAATGTATTGATTTCTTCCCTGACCTCTAACATGAAAAAGTTATTTGCAAAAACTCGAACTTTCTTCCAATTTTTACTTTAAAGAAAAATTTAAAGATCTAGTTATTAGTTTAAATTTAAATATATTAATCATACATTTTTATAAAATCATATCAAACTTAATACACTTATAAAATAGAATCCCCAAAATCAATTTATCAATTTTGAACAAAAACTGTATTTTAAGGAAATAAACATGAATTTGAATATAATTAATTTCATGTAAATATCTATTTAGAATAAACACTGTACAGTGGAAAATGTGGTACAATTTGAGCTTTTTATAGGTTAAAAATTGCTTTTGCCACATATATTTATCATTCAAAGAAGGTCCCATTTTGCAGGTCCGTAGGTTTGGGTGGGGGCGCAGGGGCACGTGCCCCCCCCCCCTTTTAAATAAGAAGGAGGGGGACACTTTCTGAGACAAAAAAGAAGAAAATGAAAAGAAGGAAACAGAAGATAAAAGAAAAAAGGAAGAAAGGGGAGAAAATTGGCATAAAATCTAACTTTTGTTTTTAATAGTATGTGTAAAGGATTATTTTTCTTCACATTAAAGATAAATTGACTGCTTTCTGATATACATTATTTGGGAATTTTTATTTCTATCCTGTTATGTGAAATGATAGAGTTTAAAGGGAGTGACCGGCTATGTAAGGTAGTTGAACTGAGTTTGCAGTGTTGTGGGAAACTTCTTCCGGATTCATTTGATACATATTAAACTTTTTAAAGATCTGTAAATCCTGAGTTTAAGCGCAAATTCGACGTTCAAAACTCCTACTTTGGGGGTGGATACGATTTCAGAATTAGTTTTTTTAAAATTATTAAATAACGACAACGAAAAATAAAGTAAAAATTATACTGCAGTAATCTAATTAGATGGTTAGGAATATATTTCTAAAAATAAATTTGTCAATAAATCAATGCTAAAATCGATTATTTCGGTTTCATTGAATTTCTTATTTTCTTTGAATTTATTGGCAAAGGAATTGAGTCTTTGCAACAAACTCTGATTTTCTAGTCCTTGTATTGTTCAAACCAAATGTCGTAGACCTTAGATATTTCAAACTATGAATTATGCTAGCTCAACTTATCTAAGTTTGAAATATCAAATGTGTACAACATCAGGTCGCTAAGATATTGGAATTCGAAAATTTAAGTTTGTTGCTAAAACTCAATTCCTTTCTTCAAATTCGTCAAATGTTGTCGTTTCAATAATAATTCTAGAAAATCTGCAAAAAATCTTTTTTAATAATGAGAAACTAGAATAATGAGAAAATAGAAACTAATAATTTAACAAGTCTGTCTATCTGTAGTTTAACTAATTCTGAAAGCGTATCCACCCCCAAAGTAGGAGTTTTGAACATCGAATTTGCGCTCTCAAATGAATCCGAAAGAAGTTTTCTACAACACTGCATACTCAGTTCAACTACCTGAAATAGCCGGTCACTCCCTTTAAATAAATCTTTTGCATTTTGAGAAGCTTATCCTTTTCCCTTCTTTTATTAGATTAATGATTCTAATGAACCATCGTACTGCACAGAGTAACAGGGAGACAAATTTAAATTTTATACAAAAAATGGCCAGGTTTAATTAAACTGTTTGTACTTAGCGATGGGCAATAGCTAGATTCGTTTGACAGAAACTTAAAAAAATATATTTTTAGACTTTTATAAGGTTTTATGACAATCTGAGAGGGTTCCAACGATTTAAAATTGTATTCTGGAAAAGTTTGCTTTTATCAATGCAAAGGAATTGAGTCATTGGAACAAAATCAAATATTTAAACCTCAATATCTTCAGAACCCGATGTTGTAAACCTTTGATATTTCAAACTCAGATTATTTGATTTAACAGAATTAATAGTTTGAAATATCAAAGTTCTGCAAAATTGGGTTCCAAAGACATAGTGATTTGAAAATCAGAGTTTGTGGCAAATACTCAATTCCTTTGTTATCCTATGTAAAGATATGAGGCAAAACTATCGTTTTAAAAACTCAAAAACGATTGTTTTAAAAGATCGTTTTGCCTTATATTTTCTTCTATAGGGTAACAAATTTGCATGTTTGATCAAAGCAAACTTCTACAGAATAAAGTTTTAAAATGTTGGAATTTTTACTTTCTCTGTATTAAAAATAAGTATTGGCTTTTTCGTGATTCAAAAATATTCAAGAGTACACTTATTCATAGTTTAACTCAAATTTCAACATCTTAAACCACCAGTTTTTTTTGTTTTGATGCAAATAGCTTCTCAATAGCACTTAAGGTAAAGAAAATATGCAAATTATCTACCTTAGTAAACTATAATGGTTGATAAGTTAAATATCTAGTTTTTTATTCTTCATTCATTAATTAAGACACATTTTAAAGTTTTTTTTCAGGTTTTAACTTGTGTGCCCCCCTTTTAAATTCCAAGCTATGTGCCTGCCATTTCTTGTCTACAGTTTGCATACATACTGTACAATTTGCTACAGGTGCTTCAAGGTCTTTCATGCACTTCAAATGAGCCAAAATTTCAAGTGCATTAGTAGTCGGCCAGTGCGTTATACGACCCCCTTTTTTTAAAAAATCGTAACGTTTCCCTGTAAACTAACCTTAGCAGGAGAAGGATTGAGGTGACTATTTCAATTGTTAATCCGAGGAAATACAAACCACCAACCATATTTAGCAGTGTCAGAGCCACACATACCACAACCAGTACAGATACCTAGATATATATGCAGATATAGTACATATATACTTACTGGTAGATAGTACATACACTACAACCAGTACAGATACCTAGATATATATGCAGATATAGTACATATATACTTACTGGTAGATAGTACATACACTACAACCAGTACAGATACCTAGATATATATGCAGATATAGTACATATATACTTACTGGTAGATAGTACATACACTACAACCAGTACAGATACCTAGATATATTTGTAGATATAGTACATATATATACTTACTGGTAGATAGTATATACACCACAACCAGTACAAATACTTAGATATATATGCAGATATAGTACATATATACTTACTGGTAGATAGTACATACACCACAACCAGTACACTACCTAGATATATAGATGAAGTACATATACTTACAGGTTATAGTACACAGATCAACCAGTACACTACCTAGATAATAGATGAAGTACATATACTTACAGGTTATAGTAATAGATCAACCAGTACACTACCTAGATAGATAGATAAAGTACATATACTTACAGTTTCATAGTACACATATCAACCAGTACACTCCCTATATAGATAGATAAATAGAGTACAGTCAACCAGTACACTCCCTATATAGATAGATAAATAGAGTACAGGAACCAGTACAGATCCTAAGAATGTAGATAGATAGGCAGAGTACATGTAGATAGTACACATCCGGTGGAAAATACATATATTTAAACTGATTGAATAATCTAAAGTGTACTGTATGTACTTTTTTTTGATTTTAGAAAGATAGTTAGATAAATAATATAGAAAGAGCTAAAGAATAGATATTGTGTAAACAAAAGCTATATACCGGCAGTTCCCTTTTTGTCAACTCAAGTAATGAATCACAACGGGGGTTCGAGGGTAAAACTTATTTCTAAAGAGGGAAACATCATTTTTCAAACTTTGATTAGATAAACTTACCTTAATATCTGATATAAGGAGAAGGCTGACAATAATGATAACTCCGAAGGCAAGAGATAAATTCCGAACCAGCTCCGTACTGTATAAAATCCACCTGTATGGAGAATGAACCCTGGATCAGGTTCTCTGTAAAGTTAGGATCCTCTACACTAATGTTAAGTTTTATATCTGCCAGATACTGGATATTCTGAGCCAAAAACATTCCAAGTTTCTTCTCAAAATCCTAAAAAACATGCGTCATACGACATTTTGATTCTTCAATACGCTGGTAATAACAAAGTAATAAATATCTTCTTCATGAAGGAGATTGGATCAGTGTCATTTAAAAATGTTGCTTTTAAATCACAAATGTCAAAGGCCTTTAGGAAGTCTAAATGCGTTAAACTGAATAAAAAAGTAAAAAAGGGATTGTTTCCTTATCCTATGCAATAAATAAATACAACTTATTCTAAATATATAAAATATAAATACGATTACAAACTTATTAAGGTACAAAATAACTATTTAAAACACATTTAATTTGGTTTGCAGTGCTATAACGTTTTGACAGACATTTTCTATTTATCTATAAGGTTCAGGCCTTTTTTAGATTATATTTTGTCCGTGCTCAACTCTAAGCTCAACTACCCCTTCTTGCCGGTCACTCCCTTTAAAAAGTGAAGACGTTAAAACTTTTAATGGGGGTAGACTTTTTTAAATAAACATATGAACTAAGATAAAACCACTCCTTTCCATGAAATCTGAAATATTAAGAACATGGTACCATAGTACCATCTAAGGTGATTACCGGAAAACAGCAGAATGACTGTCATCTACTTTCTTTCTTCTGCTTGTCGCTTAAAATTTTGTAATTTGAAATTTTTATAAATGATATGTCAAAAATGTGCCAAACATAATTCAGTGACAAATTATAAATACCTATGAAGCGTCCTTTTATACTAATTGAAAGTAAAAAGATGACATCATTTCAAGTTGTTCTCTGAATACCACTCAACATTTTATAACTTCTCTTAAAAGGTTTATAAAGCGCGTATAAATACAAATTCAACTGAACATTGATACGAAAATCTGAGAAAACCTGGGTCTGATTAATCAGAATTTTGTAGGTTTCATGGTAAAAAAGTAATTAATTAGAATAATTACTATTTACTTGATTTGCTTCCCATTGAATATACATGAACGTGTAGGCGATTGGATGTTTGAAATCCTCCAAACTGAAGACGATATTTTGAAGATTTTCTTTCACCAGATGCAATGCTTCATTCCTTGAACAATATATTTTTTAAACTTTTTAAATGTATATATTTGTATAGATTTAAGTTATAGTTTATTTGTATAGTTTTATTTTATATCATACAAGGTGCTCCCATAAATATGGGAATTTCTACAGTCGAAGTCGTATGAATCAATACAATGACGACGACTTTTGATCAATTTTTGATTTATACCAAGATTTACAACAGAATGGATAAATAAAAACATGGAAACAAAGAGAAGCTGTCAATTAACAGCTTCTCTTTGTTTACTCGTAAACTTAAAGCTTGAAAAAAGATTGTTAAAAATAGAAACTTGAATAGAAAAGTGCGAAAAGCTGATAAAACATGTTTAAATAATTAACACCGTATTTTCATCCTCCTATGGTTTCCTAAAGTGGTCTATTTGTCTATATCTTCAAAAATTGATGGAGATTGAGATATCGTTAATCAATTTTATCAAGTATCAAAAACAAGTTTAAAACTAACATTCCATTCTTAAATAAAATTTTGTACCTAATAGTTGTATTATCTAATGCAAAATGCTGGAATTTTCCTCTGCTCGCCTAGAAACATTTAAAAACTTTATATATAGATCCCAGTAATGTAAATATACAGAACAATCCATACTTTACTCGTTAATATTTGCGGTGTTTATTAAAATATAGTTTGAATAAAATAACTTTAATGGTCCTGGTTCTACCTTAATTAGGAATGAACCCCGGTGTCAGTTCTATTCGTATAAGATCTAAGATCTACCTATATAGAGAATAAACCCTGGAGTAGGTTCTATCCATATAAGATCCAACTGTATGGAGCATGAACCCTGGAGTAGGTTCTATCTGTATAAGATCCAACGGTATGGAGCATGAACCCTGGAGTAGGTTCTATTTGTATAAGATCTACCTATATGGAGAATGAACCCTGGAGTAGGTTCTATCCGTATAAGATCCAACTGTATGGAGCATGAACCCTGGAGTAGGTTCTATCTGTATAAGATCCAACGGTATGGAGCATGAACCCTGGAGTAGGTTCGATTTGTATAAGATCTACCTATATGGAGAATGAACCCTGGAGTATGTTCTATCTGTATAAGATCTATCTGTATGGAGAATGAACCCTGGATTCGGTTCTATCTGTATAAAATCTACCTGTATGGAAAATGAACCCTAGAGTAGGTTCTATTTCCATAAGATCTATCTGTATGGAGCATGAACCCTAGAGTAGGTTCTAAGCTGTATAAGATCTACTTGTATGGAAAATGAACCCTGGAGTAGGTTCTAAGCAGTATAAAATCCACCTGTATGTAGAATGTACTCGGTGGAGTATACGGTTCTAAGCTGTATAAAATCCACCTGTATGGAGAATGAACCCTGGAGTAGGTTCTAAGCTGTATAAAATCCACCTGTATGGAGAATGAACCCTGGAGTATCAGGTTCTAAGCTGTATAAAATCCACCTGTATGGATAATGAACCCTAGAGTAGGTTCTATCTGTATAAGATCTACCTGTATGGAGAATGAACCCTGGAGTAAATTTATCTATAAGGTTCAGGCCTTTTTTAGATTATATTTTGTCCGTGCTCAACTCTAAGCTCAACTACCCCTTCTTGCCGGTCACTCCCTTTAAATAAGTTTAGAACGCCAAAATGTTTCCCTACAACATGTTTTTATACCGTTGTATCATTTCCAACAGTTTGCATGAACTCCTGATACCAGAGCTGGACTGAACCCTGCCGTATGAACTGGTTCTCCTGGAGCAGGGTTGGGATCTTTAACAGTTCATCCATCTCCGATACATAATCTAGAGAACCTAGAACAAACATGTTTAATTCAAGCAGACACAATTTATTGTTTTTAAAAATTCTACAAAGAATAAATCGTATTTATTTTATTATTTGCAGTCAATCAAGGTCAAATTTTGAGACAGAATATTCTCATGCATCGTTAAAAATATTAATCCTTCTTTTTGAAAGAAAATTCTGCTTCTAACAATGCGATAAACTAATATGTTTTTTTTTTACTCTAATTAATGTTTAAAAATTGTTTTTATTTCGAACTTACCTAAATAGATTTCTACCCTTTCTCCCTGTCCTCTGAAGCTAGAAGCTAAGACTTTGTAATATTGTGCCTAAATACAGATATTTTGTAAAATCTGCATTTAGGCCTAAATACCGATATTTTGTAATATTGTGCCTAAATGCAGATATTTTGTAATATTGTGCCTAAATACAGATATTTTGTAATGAATATAGGGATAAAATTATAAAGATATGGATATTTGAATTTTTATCATTCTTATATATTTATGTTTTGGGGTAACTTAATTCTTTTAGATTTTCATTTACAAAAGTATCTGTGGATGGATTGCAGGGCATTTGAGTGTCCGATTTACAACAGTACCCTTTTAACCTTTGACTCAAGGCTGAAGAACTTATCCTTACTTATCTACAGAAACACTTTGTTTATCTTTAAAACGTATTAATATAAACTTTCCAAAAGTTACAGAAAATAATAATTTACATTGGAATTTTTGAAAACCGCGTTAGACATAGAATATTCTGGATTTTTGAGAAACATATGTAACGCCAGCTGTGTTGAGTTCATACTGTACGTTAGAGTGTACTTTAGTTTTTCGGCCATTTGAACACCATTTTAGAGCTCACCACACGGAGTTCTCTGCCCTTGATGATTATTCGAAGGTTAAAAGGGTACCGTTGTAAACCAAGAATTCTCCTCTTTGCATGGAAGGTCACTAGAAATTACACTTAAAGTCCCTTTAAGCGTTTAAACTTGCCTGATAAGAGTCTTGTCTCATATACCAGATAGAGTCATAATCTGATTCGACCGTGAGCAAACCATAAACACCTCCTGGTAAATACTGATGTAAAGTTCATATATAGAGTATACTTATCTGCATCGGTAATCCCGCAAAACATGATATAATGCACAAGGCCTTTGCAAGTGTGCATGAAATCATTATTAGATAGACTTAATGGATAAAATTAATTAAATTTGTATGTCACACAGTCGTCTTCGTATATATCAGTACTATAAAGACGACTTTCTATTTCAATTTTGGTTTTCTTCCAAGCTTTCAAACAGCAGAAACGCATGGACGTGTAAACAAAGAGAAGTTGCTTGTCTACTGAATATGTTTGGACCTCCCTTCTATAATTTATATCTTTTATTGTATTTTTATTTCTATTCATCATTTTTCCCTTATACATAATATAAGCAAGACAGTTTATTTGTATTTCGTTTATCTAGAAGACGACATTGAATATGGATGATATTATTTCATCATCTACAATTTATGCTACTAGACAACTCTATATATTTATCTTTATTTATCCTCAATAAACATGAAACATGACAGTTGGTGAATAGTTTTGAATGTCTTCTTCCACATACTGTATTAGATATTAAAAACTTTTTGCAATTGTTTCTTTAAAAAAATGTTTAACTCATATATCAATTTTACTATAGTAAAACTGTCATATAAAAATGTTATTAGTCTATTTAGTATCAAACAACTTATCAAATTATGGAAGAAGACATTTTAAACTATTCACCAACTGTCATGTTTACCTGCAGAGAATAACACTGAGAGAAGAATGATAAAGATGGAGACTGCAGGATGAAAAATATACTTCGTGATGAAGGAAAATACCTAAAATTTAAAAAATAATGAAGAAGATACTGTTTATACCTCAGCTCCGTACTATATACTAATATATCCTCAGCTCCGTACTATATACTAATATATCCTCAGCTTCGTACTGTATACTAATATATCCTCAGCTCTGTATTATATACTAATATATCCTCAGCTCCGTACTGTATACTAATATATCCTCATTCCTCAGCTCCGTACTATATATAAATATATCCTCAGCTCCGTACTATATACTAATATATCCTAGCTCCGTACTATATACTAATATATCCTCAGCTCCGCACTGTATACAAATATATCCTCAGCTCCGTACTGTATACAAATATATCCTCAGCTCCGTACTGTATACAAATATATCCTCAGCTCCGTTCTGTATACTAATATTTCCTCAGCTCCGTACTGTATAATAATATATCCTCAGCTCCGTACTGTATTCTAGTATATCCGTACCTCAGCTCCTCATTATATACTAATATATCCTCAGCTCCGTACTGTATACTAATATATCCGTACCTCAGCTGCATACTGTATTCTACTATATCCGTACCTCAGCTCCGTACTGTATTCTAATATATCTGTACCTCAGCTCCGTACTGTATTCTAATATATTCTTACCTCAGCTCCGTATTGAATTCTAATATATCTGTACCTCAGCTCCGTACTGTATTCTAATATATTCGTACCTCAGCTCCGTACTGAGTTCTAATATATCCGTACCTCTGCTCCGTACTGTATTCTAATATATCCGTACCTCAGCTCCCTACTGAGTTCTAATATATCCGTACCTCAGCTCCGTACTGTATTCTAGTCCAGGAGGGAGGGTTATATTTCTCTTTCTTCTCCAAGGTTTTACTTCGTCTTCTTTCATCCAGTAGAAGACAACTATAAAGTCAAAATAACTTTTGTTTGTTTTATTAAACATTTGGATTTTCAGAAGATTCAGTACTTGTTCGTCAAAATAAGATTAGCACTTGTCGGTTGTCTAGCAAGCAGTAAAAGCATAGAGAATAGAATATTCTATTCTCTATGAGTAAAAGCAATCGTTTTAAAAAAGTGTAAAACAAAATTCGTACTTTGCAATTGCAGCAATTGTTTTGATGTTAGATGTATTTTTATCTTTTTATCAAATATCTTTAAAAATTTCAAGATAAGTACCTACCCCACGAAGAAAGAGATTGCATATATGTAGAGGAAGAATACTCCAGCACCGGAGAACAGACAGAAACTTCGCAGAATAGGCATGCTCTAGTTTACCAAGGTATAGATTAGAACCAGGAAACATTTTATTGGGTCTCTGATAGTTAGTTGAAAGCATAAACTAAATTTGGATATCTAATACAGAACCCAAAGTAAAACTCTGGTAGTTAGTTGAAGGCATAAACTAAATTTAGATATCTAATACAGAACCCAAAGTAAAACTCTGGTAGTTAGTTGAAAGGATATATTAAATTTGGATATCTAAAACAGAACACAAAGTAAAACTCTGGTAGTTAGTCGAAAGGATATATTTAATTTGGATATCCATTACAGATCCCAAAGTAAAACTGTGGATTAGCGCCCTTTTATCAACGCCTTACGAAAACCCAATACGTTGAGGTTTTATCTTTAACCCTATAAAGGGGGGGGTTCTGACATAAATATGTATAGCCTGGGGGCCGGGACGTCCTACACCCCCCCCCTCTAGAAAAAGGCCTTAGAGTAAAGGTATAAGGTTGCAATCATGATCATAGTCCAATTTTTTTGGGACAGCTCATTGAAAAAAATAGACCACAAACTATAATAGTTGTGGTGCAAGTTTTTAGATCTATAGCTTAAATAACAAAAATGTTCTGGGCTATTTTAGATTTTTTAAAACACTGACCAGCCTTATTACCGTCTTGTACACTATTCTATTTATTAAAGACATTTTTTTTGCTAAATTACTATTTCTTAAAAGTCAACCAAGGTGATATGTAAAATAGGAGAGTGCCAGGGCAAAAAAACTAGAGCCCCCTCCCCACCTGTATAAGGTTATAAAGGAATGTAAAACTAAAACATTCCAGAATATCTTACCGTACTCGCCCCTATAACAAACGCTGCTAGATCTGTAAAAGATGTGACGGTAATCGCCAGTCCGGCGTGTTTCATCGCCTCTGCAACCCGTTCTACAGGAGTACCTTCAGGTCCAAGGATATCCAAACATTGAACTAGAAATGTAAGATTCCTACATATTCATCTCATCAGATGGGTGGATATCGTTAATCTTGAAAGGATGATCTCGATATCCAATGTGGGCATTTTTAAATTGAAGTTATCTCTACACAGAGAGTAAGACCATCACGGTATATCGGAGTGGGATCAAATTAGTGTGTTAGTTCTATTTAGAAGTGAAAACTATTTATTACCGAACCTACCGATTACAAACATATCGTCAACTCCAATACCCAGCAGAAGAAAAGGAATTATCGGAGTCATGTCGTTGAAGGATAAACCAATATAACTACAAAATCCGAATGCTGAACCTGTAAAAAAATAAAATAAAAATCAAAGTATTAAGTCAACCAAGGTTAAGTTTAATTACTTTGCATTAAATATAACTAAGACAGATTAAAAGAATTAACGCGGTTAGCTGGAGCTGAAAAAATAAGGTTGAGTTAGGACGAGTTTGGCGGAAATTGTCGATAAAAGAAGCTGCACGGAATAGAATGAGAGCTGCTTTAGCTGTATGGAGTTGGATAAAAGAAGCTGCATGGAGTAGAAAGAGAACTGCTTTAGCTGTATGGAGATGGATAAAAGAAGCTGCATTGAGTAGAAAGAGAACTACTGTAGCTGTATGGAGTAGGATAAAAGAAGCTAAGGGCTAGGATGTTCTTGTTCATATCTTTGTTTAGAATTTAACCTGTTGCCATTCCTATGACGAGAATTCCTGACAAAGCCAGTAAAACCTGAATTAAAACCATTGGATTGGGAAAAGTTTACTGCACTTATTATTATTATTATGATTTTTATTATTGCTATCATTAACATTATTATTATACTATAGAAGAAACTGGATTGCAATTGTATTAAAGAATACATGAATTAAAGTTTTTACAAAGTTTTGGTCTTCAATCTTTGTAAATAAAAAAGATATTTAAGAAAAATGGACAATCTTTTTTATCGCCTGATATAAACCTAATACATTATGTATCTAAAAAACCTTGAAGTTTTAACATAAATACTTTATAGGACAACCAGAGCACGAAACTGAAGAGAGGGTAGCACAACGAATCCAGTATAGAACACCCGGTTTCATAAAGGGAGTCAAGCAGTTTTGTAAATAGTTTCTTTATGTTGTCTTTCTGTTTTTTTTTCTTAAATTCAGAATCCAAAAAAATGTAAAGACCTCTAAAACGAAACTCGTGAGTTTCGTTCAACAAAAACTCTTAAGTTTCTAGCTCTGGCATATACTGCATTGCAGTGTACAGAAATTAAATGAATATAAGACGTAGCGCAGAGAGATTTAAAAAGATGTAAATTTAATTCAATAAATTCAATGTGTGGTAAACGTTTCAATTTATTCAATTTGTATAAAGAAGGAAGGGGAGTGTCTTGAAGGGGTCTGGAGAATCGCTAAAAACATACACAGATTAGAGACATAGAAATAGACATGTTTTTGAGACAAATAAAAAGAAGAGTATGTCAACACAAAAGCAAGTCATTGAAACAAAAACAAAACCAGACAAAGGCAGGATACATACCCAGGCTAGCAATTAATGACATCTGTTGCAAAAATTGGACAAAGCCACGAAATATAACAACAGGAAATATAGGTACAACAGGAAATATAGGTGCAACAGGAAATATAGGTGCAGCAGAAAAAATATAGGTACAACAGGAAATATAGGTGCAACAGGAAATATATGTACAACAAAAAATATATGTACAACAGGAAATATAGGTACAATAGGAAATATAGGTACAACAGGAAATATAGGTACAACAGGAAATATAGGTAAAACAGGAAATATAGGTACAACAGGAAATAATTCAATTACTAGAAAAGAAAATGGAAGTTACAAACCCTTTGCTCAACCAAGTTTAGGTTTCCTAATACTAGAGCAACATAAACAAACAGAAGAGAAAACCCAGCCATCAATACTGCAATATTGGAGTTCACAACATAATCCAGCTCATCATCATAACTAAACATAATCCAGCTCATCATCATAACTAAACATAATCCAGCTCATCATCATAACTAAACATAATCCAGCTCATCATCATAACTTAACATAATCCAGCTCATCATCATAACTAAACATAATCCAGCTCATCATCATAACTAAACATAATGTTTATACCTCCGTTCTGCGAGGACAAAGAGGTTTAGCCCGGATGGTTTATTATCCGAGTTCTGAACAATCAAATCTATAAATTCATTCTCCCAAAGCTTGGCCTTCTCCGGGTCCTGGTTTCGGAGCATCCAAACATGGAGTAGAGCTGAAGCTCCTTCAACCTTACCGTTACTCATTCTTAGTCCAGAAACAAGTTCAGATAAAGATTCTAAACCGTTTCTGAAAAATTAAGAAATTTTAATTTAATAAAACTAAAAAACTATTTTTGATCAAGTAATAAATAACAAAAATATTACGGTGATTTTATGATGAGATCCATGTAATTAAGAATATCTGCATCCGTGAGGTTACAAACAGCTTCCTCGGATAGGGAGGAGAAGGGTTCTAAATCATAAATTTTATACAACTAGATAAACTTATATTATACAAGAAATAAACTTTCTTTACGATCGCTGTAAAATTTAGTTTAAGAAAACTGTATTTTTCGGGTTGGTAAACTTTACTTTAATTATAATATTAAAACAATTTATGTAAACTATTTCAAACTTTATATATATACTTGTCTTGTCTCGGTGTTTGTCTGTTTGTTTGTATTCAATAAACGTCAAAACGGTTTAACCAATCAGGCCAAATATTGAGCTTTAAAGTTTTAGGAAAAAGATGTCTACTTGAAATACAACATGCATGATAAAAAAACTTAAATACTTAAGAAAGGATATTGAGAAAGTAAAACATCATAAGTAAAAAGAAAAATTACAAATAATTTTCGAGAAATTCGGTATTCTATTGAAAGACTCTAATTTTCTTGAAAACACAAAATTCCATTTTCCTGGGAATATGTGCACTAAATTTTACTTAAAGATAGATACTTATCAGATATTCGCAATATTCTAAAAATGTTTTTTGAAAAAGTTTTCAAGAAATTGAAAAAATAATTGCCCGTATATATTTTGGCAAAAAATTATAAAGAAAAAATCCAACCAAAAATGTTATTAAAGACAATTCAAAATCTTGCAAATTTTGATTTTTATTTAAAATATATATATACCAACCTATATACAGAAGTCCAACTTTAACACAATCTCCCATCCTAGGATTTCTAAGATCTGCACTTGGAAACCTGAAATTCAAAAAATTAAAACATTCTTAAAAATTTATTCTTTGAAATCCCCCCTTCAGCCCCCCCCCCATTCTCGTAAAAATCGAATTTTAATCTATATATATATATATATATATATATCTTTGCTTGTCTGTCTGTCCGTTTGTGTCCAATAAACGTAAAAGGGCAAAACCGATCGGGCCCAAATTTTGTGTGGGACCATGCAGGGAAGGTTGATGGAACATCAAAATTTGAAAATAATTCCCCGAAAATAGTTGGATTTATTTTTAAATGCGCCAGTTCGAAAAGAAAATTCCACCAAAATTTGAAAATGATTTAAAATGGCCAACCTTCAGAGCAACAGTAAAAAGCTAAAATTACTGAAAAGAAAGGGGGCACAAAACCCAAGTATGTAATGTTCAAACATCCTCTGATTAGGTCAGATTTGAAAAACTGTACACGTCTTTTTATGCAACACATGAGGACTGATAAATGATTGAAATGTTTTTGTTGAAAAAAATAAGTGACCAACCTAAGTGCAAGAAGCAATATCTAAAATATTTCTAATTCTTTCATTTTGGCAAAAAAATCATGTTTTTTTTTGTGCATTTATTGTGTGTTATTCAAGAATCAGTTTAATTTATTCCTACAATCCCTTGAAGTTCTGTTTTATTGAAGCTAGAATGGAACCTTGAAATGCTGTTAACTCAGCGTAATATCTACCTCAGCCTTTCCCATGTAATCTAATATATTCACATCACAGGATATATATACTTTTTCATCCTAATAGTAGCTTTATACCTTCTAAACTAGTTTTATACCTTTACTTCTAAACTAGTTTATACCTTCACTTCTAAACTAGTTTTATACCTTCACTTCTAAACTAGTTTTATACCTTCACTTCTAAACTAGTTTTATACCTTCACTTCTAAACTAGTTTTATCGTACCTGAAGTCAGATTTTTATCTAATCTGGTTAGTTCTGTACTTAAGTGTTAGATTATAGAGTAGGGGTTATATGAAAGCTTTTTCTTTATGCACTGACTTTATTCACTGACTTATTATCTGTTGTACGATGTAGGATAGTTTTGTCTCAGGAAGTACTCGGAGTATGGATTAGATCTATAATAAGTGTTTAACTACCTGAAACATAGATCGGAGTAAGAATCATTCTCTTTAGAAACCAGATTCTCTAGAACCTTATCCAAGCTCCATAACTAAAAAATCAAAACAGGAAACTTTCGTTTTCATCTTTATGATAAACTATTTTTTTAAAAATCTTATCTGATATATTTACATATTTTATATTTTGAGCCGTAAGTATGTTTTCTGATTCGAAGATTAGAGACTCGTATCGTCGATCTTTGGGGAAATTTTTAGCAATCCATTTCTTCTGCTCGATAAACTGAAAATATAAAGATATTGTAGATAAATATATTCAATATATATATATATATATATATACTGAGGAACTGATAGAGTATCATCAAACTCTTGGCAGTTGAACCTATCAATTCTATCAATATTTGGTTGGAGACAGCGAGTTTAAGATGAACTTGATTAAAAGTAGGAAATTAAAATGGAAAAAAGGTTTCGGAAACTTACGTTTAAATCTATAGGTTTGTTTAAGACATTCCGAACCAATTGTTAACAACAGTTTTATATATTATTAAATTTCGTTTTTTTTGTTATATTTTAATAGAGAATGTAAAGATCTTGTTCAATCTAGAAATGCATGGATTAAGAAATTCTTTATTTGATTTGTGGGAAGAAAAATACACAGAGTCTATACTAAGATGCTTTGAACAGATTTCAGTTTACAGCTTTAAGATTTCAGTTTACAGCTTTAAGATTTCAGTTTACAGCTTTAAGATTTAAGTTTACAGCTTTAAGATTTCAGTTTACAGCTTTAAGATTTCAGTTTACAGCTTTACGATTTAAGTTTACAGCTTTAAGATTTCAGTTTACAGCTTTAAGATTTCAGTTTACAGCTTTAAGATTCAGTTTACAGCTTTAAGATTTAAGTTTAAGTATTTCTTATATATATATTGTTTGTCCGTTTGTCTGTCTGTTTATGTACAATAAACGTCAAAACGGCTAAAACGATAGGGCCCGATTTTTTTGTGGCAGCTAGCATAAAAAATATGTCGACATTGACGATTATAAAAAATCCGCCAATTTAAACAGAAAAAAAAGCAACATTATTTGATTTTTTGTCGAGTAGACTGAAAATGTGACGGCGTTTAAACTTTGGTTTGTATGAGTACCACTCTCCACTAAAAGCTACAATATCTTCGGTCAGTATACTGTTAACTACTGCAGAACGCAACAAAAGCTTAGTTGAGGGTAAAAAAAATCTTTGCAACCTGATGGTGTAAACCACCTTTAATTTTTCAAACTTAGACTATTTGATCTGACAGAATTCGTAATTTAAAATATCGAAGGTCTACAACATCGAGTTGCAAAAATATATATGTTAGAGAATCAGAGTTTGTTGCAAAAACTCATTTCCTTTATGTAAAGATTAGATTCGGAAACTTTTGGTTAAGATAGAGCTTAACTTCTTGGATTAACTGATCCCACTAACTAAACATTTTGAATCCAAAAGTTTACATCCTCAAATCCCCTAAATCTTCTAGAAACAGGTTTAAGGTTAAAGAAATGGTAAATGTTTCAGTTGCTAAGGGAGAGGGGCCGAGTTTTACTCTCTAGCTGTTTAACTAAATCTGACTCTGTACAGTTTTATCTTTATGTGATATTAAAAAAAATGCGTTATCAATTATATTTGTACATATTTGCATATGTACTTTTATTAATGTTACGTAAGAGCTTAATCCAGTTTACAAATATGTTGTTTCTCAAAAATATTAATAATAACGTTGGATAGAGGTCTCATAGATACAAAAGGCCTGACAATCTTTCAGTACCATGATCTGTTGTATTCAGCACAATAGAAATGTATACTTGGCTTGGCTGTATGTTTGTCTGTCTGTATACAGTAACTGTCAAAACGGCTGAACCGATCAGGACCAAATTTTTTGTTATAACAACTCACATGATTACAAAGGAAGATGAATGATTTTGCCAGAAAAAATGTCGACACTTGTTATTTTTGAAAGTGTTCCATTTTAAACACAAAAATGTCAAACGGCACACTACAAATTGACGAAATAAAACTGCGTAAAATCTAGATTTGTGTACATAATTATACAAAATAGTGGCGAGTAATCAGCTATGTTTTTTTAACTTTAGTAAGGAAAGTGTGTACGTGGAAGGAGAATGTAAAGAAAGGATGCAATTGTGATGCAAAAGGACAGAAAAAAGTTCCAGATCCAGAAAATCTTGTATTGTGGATATCAAGATCAATGCTTAATCTCGATTGTTTTTTAATCTGCAGATTAATTTAATCTTCATTCAATGATAATCGTACCTTGGAGGAATAACTAAAATGAAGAGATATATAATATTGCTCTTCAAAATTAAGTGCCCACAGTGGATATCACGATCAATCGATCTGGACAATGAGTATCCACCGCAAAAGTTCCTAGCTCAGAGCTGAAAACTTTAGAATGAGATATCCTTTATCCCGATTACTTAATCTGAGTATCCAATAAACACACTTTTGATTTTCTTCTTAAACCGTTCTTTCTTGGATATAGTAGAGAAAAATCAAAAACCGGTATTTTTTTTTATTTAGAGAGTCCCTCCCGTTTCTGTATATTAATCTTAAATGGCGCGCAAAATTTCCAATTTATCGGCTTCATATACGCGACTCTGATTGGTTGAATTTTATACACTTTTCAGGATACAAGTACAAGATTAAGTTAGTCTCGATATTAAGAAAAAGAGAGGAGCAAGCATTAATCTCGATATCCACCATTCTAAAGTTCCCAGCTCAGGAGAGACAAGGTAAGTAAGGAGTTAGTAAATATTCTTACTGGAGATCCTACAGGAGTCCAGAGTATTTCATCGTCCGTCTCCACATTCATCACTAGGTTTCCACAACATAATACAACACAGAGTAGGACGGAGATTAGCAGAGTGGTTTTAGGTCGGTTAGACACCAGTAGTCCCCATCTGTAAACAATATTATCATAGATTTATTTTTTTCTTAGATGTGATTATTAGTCTTGTGTTTTACCTGTAAAATACGGATTCAAGGAAGTGTGTTATAGACAGAGAGATTCTTGTCAGAAAATTTCTTTTTTTATAATTTTCCTTGATATCCATGCTTTCCTTGGTATCACTGCTTTCCTTGGTATCCATTTTATCAAGGAGTTGGGAGTTGGAGGATATATCAACCTGTAACTTTAAACTAGATTAGAACTTTTTTATTCATCAAAACTTTGATATATCGATACCACAGTGATCAGTTGATATATCGATACCACAGTGATCAGCTGATATATCGATACCACAGTGATCAGTTGATATATCGATACCACAGTGATCAGTTGATATATCGATGCCACAGTGATCAGTTGATATATCGATACCACAGTGATTAGTTGATATATCGATACCACAGTGATCAGTTGATATATCGATACCACAATGATCAGTTGATATATCGATACCACAGTGATCAGTTGATATATCGATACCACAGTGATCAGCTGATATATCGATACCACAGTGATCAGCTGGGAAAATGTTTTACACATGAAAAAAGTAAGGTTATACATTTTACATTACATTGTTTCTTTTTGATAAATCATCTGGGATTCAAACCTGTAGTATATATTATGAAATTTATCTAATACTGACACTTTTATTTATTTTTAGTAACAAACTTAATTTGTTGTTTTTCAGTATGGTACAGTATGTTCATTTTTTGGCCTGCATTAAAATATTTTACTCAAATATTAAATTGACATTTTTAAATAAATTCTCACTTTACATGAAATTCCTAAATAGCAAGTTCATTTTGAGATGAAAATATCAAAGATTATAAAGGGATTATTATGTTTTATATTAAAAGGTATTTTAAAACTCAAATCATCGTTGAAATCAAAATAAAAAAATTCACCGTTAACTGACAGTTAAATCAATACTTTTCCATTATTAACAAAAGCAAAGTATCAAGATGAAATAATATCTACCTTAGTCTGATCTGTATGCAGATGTTTTGAAGATGATTGTACAGGACGGGTTCTTCTTCGGTCCAGGGTTTACTTCTCCATCTCCAGGGTAGGATTGGGTTTCTATAATATCTCAGGAGATATATTTTGTTTCAGAACCTTGTCTACACAATAAAGGGAGTTACTTCTTGTATCTCTGCGAGTTTCGTGTTTGGTTTAGCTCCAAGTTCTGGGTTTGGTTAGCTTCCAGATGTTGGAACGGAGTTCTGATATATATAGCTAGCTCCGTCCTGCATTACTCTGCGTCTGATCGTGCAAGCAAAAGTTCAGAAGAACTATCTCTGGGTAGAGATAAAACACTTATCTCTTGTAAACATTTTTCGATCTATCTATCTATCGTTTAAATATTTACTTTACTTTGTTACTTTAATGACCTTGAATCATGTTTATAACGATTTAAAATAAAATTTCGCAATTACTTTATGATTAATTACAGGGTTACCCACAAAGGATGAGATCGTTTTTATAAAAAGTTTTAAGGTCGTATTTAAAGTTTCAGCATTTATTCCTATGTTTAGCCTGTTGTAAAATATAGAATATAGATCAGTTGCCTCTTTATCAATTTTCTTTTAAAGGAAATTCTACTCTTTTCTTGTAAAAACTGTTCAATCGTCTTTCGTTAGGAAAACACAATGCATTACTACACCTACACATTTGATCCTTGAACTTCCATGCTGTATAATGTATATTTTTAAATATTGTTATTTTTTTTAAACTATTCATTGACGAATACTATGTCAAGGCATAATCTGAAAATCTTTTGAATCATTGCTAAATAAGTTGAGTAACCCGTATCTTCTTCTTTCTACCCTAAATTGAATTTAAAAATATCTAAACTGATTCATCTAGCGGATTCTGTAGCGCTGCAGTTTAAACATATTTCTAAAATATTAAAATGCAACTCAGCAAGTTTAAAGCAGTTATATCTGCCCAGTTTATGGCAGATAATTTTGTTTCAATATTTTCAAACTATGAAATTTCTGATTTTGCTTTTTTGAGAGATGTTAAGGTGAAAATGGGTGGGGGGGCATTTTGTAAATTGGAGCAATTCAAAAATGTTAAATATTGAAAATAACATAAGTTTCTACCGTTGATTTTAACTGATTTTTAAACTGCTGAGTTTGCTAAACTTACAACTTCTCTTTTGGCCTGATTAGCCTACATCAGCTCCCCTCGGGGTCAGCTTATAGGGTCAGCCTGCCCTACCAGATACAAGCAATCCTCTCAGTAGATTGTAAACCTGCTCATATATCAGGTATACATGCATACATGAAACATGATAAATTTATATCTATATAGAAAGTAGTAATCTTTATTTGTTTGTTTGTCTATCAGAACTCGCAAACTCCTTGACCGATTTGCCTCAAAGGAATTGAGTCTTTGTCAAAAACTATTTGCAACCTAACCATATAAACCTTCACGTAAAACTCATATAATTATACTAAAAAAATTCATAGTTAAAATTATATTATTTAAGGTCTACGATATTGGGTTGCAAAGATATAGGGATTAGAAAATCAGAGTTTATGGCAAAGACTCCACACTTTTGGGTGGGGAAACTGGGTGGAACTTTGGGAATGTTCTTAGCGCTAGCTTAGCTTAAAATGTTAAAAGTTTAGTGGCTCGTCTTTATAGAGGAGGTTTAGTGTCAGACAAAGCTGGGTTTCCAATAAATTTATAATCATAAACGCTATTTTTTTTATTTTATGAATTGTTTTTATATATAGATTTAATCATGGTGGTCGGAAGCACTGGAGGACACTGGAAGCGTCCAATCAATAGGATGTACTCCTACAACTACCAGGTTAGAGTAAATTTTCTCATTAGAAGTCAATGTATGTCTAAGCTTTTGTTGGAGAGAGCTACTATCTACCTATCCAATCCTGTTCTAGGTTGGAGAGAGCTAATATCTGCCTATCTTAGCTTGTTATAGGTTTGATAGAGCTACCATCTACCTATCTAATCTTGTCCTAGGTTGGAGAGAGCTACTATCTACCTATCTAATCTTGTTCTAGATTTAATAGAGCTACTATCAACCTATCTAATCTTGTTCTAGGTTTAATAGAGATACTATCTACCTATCTATTCTTGGTCTAGGTTGGATAGAGCTACTATCTACCTATATAATCTTGTTCTTTGTTAGATAAAGCTACTATCTACCTATCTAATCTTGTTCTAAGTTGGAGAGAGCTACTATCTACATATCTAATCTTGTTCTATGTTTAAAAAAGCTAATATTTACCTATATTATCTTGTCCTAGGTTGAAGAGAGCTACTATTTACCTATCTAATCCTGTTTTAGGTTTGAAAGAGCTAATTTCTACCTATCTAATCTTGTTTTAGGTTGGAGAGAGCTACTATCTACCTATGACCAGCTACCTGGATACCAAGAATGCTGCAATGGATCTGAAGATGGACCTCCCCGGACCTCTTTCCTTCTCAGAGAGGATTGCTGTGAATGCTTTGAATGATGTGTGAGTTTTTATTTTTTTATCATTAACCTCTTTTTTTGAGAAACCTTTTTTTCTCGTAAGATTTGAATTTCTTTTATGTAAGAGAAATTTAGTTATCTAAGTACATTTTTAGATTTGCCATAAAATTTTTATTCATCTGATAAAAAATCTTCGTACAACTTGTTCCTTACCTAATTTATATTACTAACCCACACAAACCTTTCTAACTTTTAATATTTTCTCATTAATACTTAAGCCCACTCTGAAATAGATCCAGTTGAGATCTTTTCTTTCTTTAAATCATTTCTTCTCATTTGGTTTTCTGTTCTGAATCAAATTACACTTAAAAAAACAAAAGTGTGTGTCAGTGAGTTATATCCTGCACCCTGTGGTATTTGAGCAATTAAGTGTGGTTGGTGTGGGAGCAGTATGAATGTGCGTTCGGAATAACTTATATTTATGGTTTTCTTGTTGTACAAATATAGTGAATTCCTGGTGTACATGTATTCTTGGTATACATGTAGTGTATTCCTGGTATACATGTATTGTATAACGGTATACATGTAGTGTATTCCTGGTATATATGTAGTGTATTCCTTGTGTACATGTATTCTTGGTATATATGTAGTGTATTCCTGGTATACATGTAGTGTATTCCTGGTATACATGTAGCGCATTTCTGGTATACATGTAGTGTATTCCTGGTATACATGTAGTGTATTCCTGGTATATATGTAGTGTATTCCTGGTATACATGTAGTGTATTCCTGGTATATATGTAGTGTATTCCTGGTACATATGTAGTGTATTCCTGGTAAATATGTAGTGTATTCCTGGTATATATGTAGCGTATTCCTGGTATACATATAGTGTATTCCTGGTATACATGTAGTGTATTCCTGATATACATGTAGTGTATTCCTGGTATACATGTAGTGTATTCCTGATATATATGCAGTGTATTCCTGGTATATATGCGGTGTATTCCTGGTATACATGTAGTGTATTACTGGTATACATGTAGTGTATTCCTGGTATATATGTAGTGTATTCCTCGTATACATGTAGTGTATTCCTGGCAAACATGTAGTGTATTTTTGGTATACATGTAGTGTATTCCTGGTATACATGTAGTGTATTCCTGGTATACATGTAGTGTATTCCTGGCATACATGTATTGTATTCCTGGTATACATGTAGTGTATTCCTTGTATATATATAGTGTATTCCTGTGTTTAGAGGAGAAGAGAAGAAATGCAAGACACAATTAGTACTTCGCAAAGTCAACAAAAGTTTAGCTGGTAAGCCCAGTTCAAACTTTAACTTGCTCGAAGTCATTTAATTCAAAAACTCTGCGGTATTGTTAAATTTGCATTTTTAACTTCTTTAAGCATATACACCATAGATATACAAGAATATTCTTGTATATCTATGATACAAACACAGAGTTAATCTGTTACTTTCAAGGTGTATCTCTTCTCTTAATACAAAATACATTAATAAAGACACATAAACTATATGGAATTCACAATTCACACTCTCGATCCCTTCTCCAATACCCTCAACCTAGAATCCTCCCAGGTTTCTAAACATTCTTGGAATAATTTCATTTCCTTCTGGTCTCAGGTTCAATAGATGGTATTCTCCAATCAATCCTGTGTAAAACAGAATCATAAAGGGACTGTCCTCCTGGTCTCAGGTTCAATAGATGGTATTCTCCAATCAATCCTGTGTAAAACAGAATCATAAAGGGACTTTCCTCCTGGTCTCAGGTTCAATAGATGGTATTCTCCAATCAATCCTGTGTAAAACAGAATCATAAAGGGACTGTCCTCCTGGTCTCAGGTTCAATAGATGGTATTCTCCAATCAATCCTGTGTAAAACAGAATCATAAAGGGACTTTCCTCCTGGTCTCAGGTTCAATAGATGGTATTCTCCAATCAATCCTGTGTAAAACAGAATCATAAAGGGACTGTCCTCCTGGTCTCAGGTTCAATAGATGGTATTCTCCAATCAATCCTGTGTAAAACAGAATCATAAAGGGACTGTTCTCCTGGTCTCAGGTTCAATAGATGGTATTCTCCAATCAATCCTGTGTAAAACAGAATCATAAAGGGACTGTCCTCGTAATTTCAAGTAACCTTTCATTTGCAGAGATGCACGTCCTATTCAGAACTGTACTCTTTAATCCTTCGTCTGAGCAGAAATTATGAAGATATCTTCTAATTCTCAAAGTAGAGCATTTCCAATTGTAATTCTATATAAATGTCACTTGAAGATTTATCAAATTAAATTTTTAGAATTTAGCACTTCTCCAGACAGGTTTTCTTAATGTTGCTAAGATGAAGGTTTAATGTTACCTTCATATAAATCTGTTTCTGTCCTTTAGATTCGACCCAATCTATATTTTAATCTGTTTCTGTCCTTTATACTCGACCCAATCTACATTTTAATCTGTTTCTGTCCTTTATATTTGATCCAATCTACATTTTAATCTGTTTCTGTCCTTTACATTTGATCCAATCAACATTTTAATCTGTTTCTGTCCTTTATACCCGATCCAACTACATTTTAATCTGTTTCTGTCCTTTATATTTGATCCAATCTACAGTTTAATCTGTTTCTGTCCTTTATATTCGATCCAGTCTACATTTTAATCTTTTTCTGTCCTTTATACCCGATCCAAACTACATTTTAATCTTTTTCTGTCCTTTTTACCCGATCCAATCTACATTTTAATCTGTTTCTGTCCTTTATATTTGATCCAATCTACATTTTAATCTGTTTCTGTTCTTTATATTCTATCCTTTCTACATATAAATCTCCTTTCTGTCCTTTATATTCTATTTTTCTATTTAGAAATACATTCTGTCTTTTAGCTCTGATGTTA